ATCCCAACCAAGCCCGGGACACACCAGCTGTGTGGAGGCACAAGCCACGAGCAGAAAATTGACCAGCTTGTTGGATCACAAGCCCAGCACAGAGCCTGGCTGCTCCCTCTCTGCAAGAATGAGAGGAAGCTGCTCGCTAAGTGCTCACTTTTTATTCATTCATTCATTCATCTTCTAACCGCTTCATCCTCTTGAGGGTTGCGGGGGGGCTGGAGCCTATCCCAGCTGACATCGGGTGAGAGGCAGGGTACACCCTGGACAGGTCGCCAGACTATCGCAGGGCTGACACATAGAGACAAACAACCATTCACACTCACATTCACACCTACGGACAATTTAGTTATCAATTAACCTAGTCCCCAATCTGCATGTCTTTGGACTGTGGGAGGAAGCCGGAGTGCCTGGAGAGAACCCACGCTGACACAGGGAGAACATGCAAACTCCACACAGAAGGGCTCCCACGCCCGGGATCGAACCGGCAACCCTCTTGCTGTGAGGCGAGAGTGCTAACCACCACACCACCGTGCCGCCCGCTCACTTTTTATTATTTTTTATTAATTTATTAAAAAGAAAAGATTGTTTTTTCCACAGCCTGATCCCTTCCTGCCAATCAGTGAACATTTTCACTTGTTAGCATTTGTTGTAAGCATTTACCTCAAAGCACTACTGTGCCTAAATGCAGCCTCACAGAGCATGGCTGTAGAGTCTTGGTTTTTACGGCACGGTCATACATGCACAGAGTAAACATAAACAGCTTTCCGTTTACTTCCTTTTAGTTTGTGCAAAGGGGCAAATAAAACATTCACTTCCGGTGGCAAAGCAATTTTGCTTTTTCACATCGTGTGGAGTTCAACTTTGGTGAACTTTGATTAACAAAGTTGCAGCCTCAACTGATAGCAATAAAGTAGCCAGTGTGTGGAGGAGACAGTGGTCATTGCTGTGTTTAACCAATAAAACGCTGTCTGGCCCGCCGTGCATGTGGAACATAAGAAAATGGAAAATGTACCAACAACATCACAGTTCACTGTATTTATCTGCAAGCTAACATTAGCTACCAAGCTAAAAGCTAAAAGTCACTCACCTTGCATTCACTCATGTGTGACCTTGCCCTTATTCTCTGTGGTCCAGCAGGGATCATAGACATTTAATTTAGGGGTGGCGACATGAACAAAGATCAAAATTATTTTCCAAGAGCCTCTATTCATCATCTCAATCAACAAGTGGAGTCCTATGCTCAGACTAGGCTGCTCTTTCCATTGGAACAGCATGACAGCTGCCATGGGAACATTAAATTCCCACTAATTTATCCACCAAAATCAGTTTCTGATTTAATCTGAGGCCACAGAGAGACCGTGCAGTCGCTGAATCATGCATTATCCACTGTATAACAGCTTCTTTCAAATCACCTCTCTCTCATAGTTTGTCTCTCTTTGCAAAGCTCAGCTGGAGAACGAAGGGTTAAAACATACACATGCGTCATATACATGGATGCATTTGACACTGTTTGTTTAGATCGATCCAAGGTTAGTGTGTAGCTGCTCCTACACACGCACAAAGCACATCAAAGACGTGCTGGTGGACTTCAGGTGGCTGGATTCTCCATGACTTTGATGAGACATACAGTACACTTAAACACACACACACGCACACACACAGACGAGTATCAAGATGTTCCCTGGGGAATAGTCCCATGAGAAATAAGCGTCTGCACTGTTCCTACAGCATGTATTAATTAGCCCGGTGTGCAGAGAGCACAGTGTATTGTCTTGTGTGGGATGGACTGTTAATGACGGGCTGTGAAACATGACACCTGTTGTTTGGCTGAATACAAAGATGCTTGTTCTTTCTTCATCAAACTACCTGTCTGCGTCCGCGGCTGACTGAGGATGTCTGTTTTATATATCTGTCGGTCTGTCATGAGTCCTGGGAAGGAAAGATAGATGTTTGATATGAAAGAGAGGAGGAGAGGAGCTGCTCACATTTTCCATCTGTTGATTCCACTCGTTCTTCGTGTTGTCTACCTTCCACTCTCTCTGTTTCCTCCTCTTCCCTGAAAGACTCATAAAGTCAGTCTCATTGCACTTATTTGCCTACAGCCCTGTTATATACATTTATGTCACCCTATTTTCCTTGCCCATAAAGCAAAAGCAAATGTTGAGAGTTTATTTCCCTTTGTTTCAGTACATCCCTTCCTGTCATAAATGGTGAATTTTAAACAAATTCCCCCTCAGGACTCGGACACCTGAAACCCGCACTATAGCCGGGGCCCAGGAGAGCCATCAATAATTGATTGTGTACCAACACTAACTTGGTGTGGTGCGAGAGAAGCCAAGGTCTAGACAAAGCAGGCCTCCAAATGCAAACGGCATCGAGATAAGAGCGAGCAGTTACAGCCTATTGTGTTTTGCTAGGGAAATATTGTGACATAGATGGTCAGTCACATGCACACATATCCATTATTTATCTCTGCTGAGCTGTTTCCTGATTGTTGCAACCCATTTCAGAAAGTATTTAGGAGGAGTCTTCTTTTATTGTGGTAAATCAGCTGCATAAATAGCTGTCCGAAATGCTTTCCTGATCCACTGTTGCAAGAATTCAGAACTCATAACAAGAGTTTTAATAACATTGTGGTGCAGATGCTCTGAAAGTCACATTGAGCTGTGTGTAAGCAGTATGCTGTCCCACGGCTCCACCTATTGGACAAATGAAGTAACATAGGCTCTCAGTGTCGTGTACAGTGTGTCAATGATGAAAAAAATAGTGATAGGAGGATTCATTCAGGTGCTGCATTTAACTCAGACAGTCCACTTAACTAAAGAGATTTGTGTTGGAAAAATCTGTTTTTAACCCCCAAGCAGAAATCCCAAATAACTGGGACCCTTGCTGGAGAGAACGTAGCTCAGTACTGGTCGACCATGCCCACATGTTTTGGTATTGTACATGTATTCAACTGTTTTGGGACACTAAACAAAGCAGGAGCAGAGCCAGACAATGCAAACATTTGGTTCTCAGCCCAAACCTAGGGGGCTCTGGAGACATGATCCCATTTACGGAAGCTATATGCACTATTATTCAAACCATCTGAGATAACAGAAGGTCTCAAAATCTGATAGTTGCCAAAGAAAAAAAGTGGTTTGTCAAACATATGGCCCATGGGCCAGAACCGGCCTGCCAAAGGGTCCAATCAGGCCCACCAGATGACTTTACTCATCAAATAGTGAAGGCTAAGGTCAGTTTTCAGGAACAAGTTAAACAGTGATTAGTTTTCTTAATGTAAAATGCTTGCTTAGAGGGCTTTCCTCCCTGACCAGAATACAGGTCTCCAAAAAACAATTTGGTCATATTTTAAAGATATTGAACATTGTGCAAAATATGAATAATTTAAATCAATCAGCAGCTTTGGTACAAAATAATCTGTATTAGACTTATGTCCTAAGACATTATTGGTGGAACACTGCTGCTGAGACTGACAACGTTCTTAATTTGGAAATGGCTTGTAAGGCAGAGGAAGACTCAGACCTCCTGTCTATTTTTGTAAGCTGAGACCATTTCCCTCAGTGTAAACAAAGCTTTTACTTACTTTTATTTCACAGATAAGAAACAATAAATTATGAAGACAATAAAGCCTCCACAAAAATAGCATTTTAAGTCTTGTGTGTGATTTATCCTGGCTTCATATGAGCAGAGGAAATCTGTGCTTGTCGCTAGGCTCATTTATACAATGTAAAATGTCATAGGCTTGTGCTAATAACGTTAGCATGTTGTATTTGTTTGGAAAACATGTTTAGTATAAGACAGTTGTTTTGTCAGTGAACCTTGTGAGTTGTTATGGAGCCAAATTATGTGCCGTTACCTTTGTTAAATGTTGCTGTTGTTACTACACAGGAGTCGAAATGTATGCACATGCAATGACTGTAAATGGTCGACTGACTGAATGTGGAAAAACTGAATGTGGAGACTTATTGTAGAAATTGCATTTATTCTTCTGAAGACATCACAGGCTGTTTGTCACCTATTTTTAAAATGGATGAGCCATTTTCAAATGCAGGAGGGAAATTTGGAGGGGTTTGCTATTTTTAGGATATTATGTAGTGATTATCTTTGTTCTGATCATCTGTATCTAATTGTTCTCCAACTGTCGTCATCTCTCTGAAACCACAACACAAAAAATGTTGAGGATGACTAATTTCCACTCCCGCCACTTTAAAGAGGCTAAATTTGTCTGTTGTTACTATTTTTTAAGTTACGTAACACAGGTAGGAATTTGGTGTAAACAGCATTTCTAATCTTGAGAGCTATTTTTGTTACTGTGCTGGAGTAGAGTTCACAGACTGAATCAAATCTGCTACATTTAAATCCATCCCATAATAATCTAAGCTGATGCAAATCAACAACAATGCAAGTCTTCAGTACTCTGAATTACATATAAGGCCAACAGAAGACCATTTACTTGGTTATATTAAATCTCTTTTGGAAATAGCATAAACATCAATAAACAACATGGACACATATTATTATGCCAATGACACAAAGTAGATGGTATTTTAAAAAACTTTGAAGATTGGGGCTTTAGAGAAAACATTTGGGACTGGAGCGCCACAAGCCATCCGTCTGCTCTCCCTCGAAAAAGCAGCTGTTAATTCTAGCCACACACCTACCAACATACACATGACTATGAAAGTTGTATATCCTAACAGAGACAGAAATTCCTATTTGACAGGACACTATGATTATGAGATAAAATTACCTGAACATGCAGGTTTTCAGTAAAGTGATCACTTCTTAAGTCTGTTTGAGCAAGTCTAGCTTTCAGTCTCTTGTTAGCCGTGTTTACCAAGATCTGTGGACGTCCACTATGGCTGCCAGAAGGCATGTGAAATCACCTAGAAGCTCTCACAGTCAGTGGTGATGGACCACCAAGAGCTATAACAGCCAACGCACAAACCACATCTCCTTCCTTCCTGCCAAAAACCTCTTTCCTTTTGTCTCTGTGTTTCCAGGTAAATGGTGTGAACATCGAGGGCATGCGGCATGCAGAGGTGGTGGCCTTCATAAAGAAAGGTGGAGATGAGACCTGGCTGTTGGTAGTCGATCCAGAGACAGACGAACACTTTAAGAGGAGGGGGATCGTCCCCACAGTCAGCCATATCAGAGGTAGGGCTGCGTGATTAAATGTTACTGCAAGTGTGACATATAACTCTGAACTTCCAGGATGCAACAGCATCACATGTGTTGTCGTCATGTGTTGGCCTATTAGAAAGTGATAGCAGATATTTTACTGCAGAGTATCAGGCTGTCAACTAGAGCTGCACCGATAAGTCAATTAAAGGTTTAGTCAATTGACAGAAAATTATTGGCAACTATTTGATAACTCAACAATTGTTTTAGTAATTTTCTAAGCAAAAAGACCAAATATTTGTTGGTTTCAAGCGTCTTAAATGTGAGAATGTTATGCTTTATCTTTAATACAATTTGAAGACTTCACCTTGGGCTCTGGGAAATTACACAGAACATTTTACTATTTTCTGACATTTTGACAAAACAATTTATGGAGAAAATAATGGGCAGATTAAATGACGATGAAAATATTGTCAACAACTCTAGGTAACACTTTATTGTAAAGGTCGATCATTTCTTTGAGAACATTTTCTGGAAAGAACAACTTAATTTGGTACTAAAAGAGAGGAAGTTCTGCTGTTTCGCTGATTTTACAGTGTAGTTAATTGTGCTGCATTTATAAGCAGTTGTTGATTTACAAATAAATTTCTTTGAAAGAAAGGGTACATTAAAACCCAATTATTCATCATTCAGTTATTTCTGAAAATGTTTTCATCTTATTAACTTACTTCTTATTCCCCACAAATTTCACTTTGTTACATACTCAGCTGACCTGCTGTGCATTGAGTAAAATATTAAAGGTTACAATTAATTGAAATTAAACCACTTGAACACTGTCTCAATTTTCCTATATTTGTTTATCAAATTACATCATCCTTTGTAGTAAACTTCCAAGGAAATGGTTAGGAAATTACATAGCTGTGAAATATAGTACTGCAGGGATGACATTTGTTTGTTGGCCGACCCAGAAGTTAGCATTGCCCGTGGTTCCCTTGTCAAAAAGTCACTGGGATTTTTCCATTGGATTTTGGATATTTGCAAAGAATAAAATCTTTGGCAAACAAAAGTTTATGATGCTTACAAGTTTTGTTCAGCAAGATAATCTTCACAAATGAACATCACTTCTATGATTTCTGAAGCCTGAATGCAATGGCCAGAAGTAAAGAGCTAACATTAGGCTGAAACAAACTACACCACTGCATCGTTGCCACCACTGTAAAGCCATGTTAGGCATCATGACGCTCTATATTCCCATTTAACCATTTGTTACAACAACTTGCTTAAGACACGTTAAAGCTTCTTGAGTGGGGTATTTACTGACATATTTTGTCGCAGAACAAAACATAACAGTCTCTTAGGCTTGTGCTAACCACAGACCTTATCTCAGGCATCTAACCCATTGACTATGAGATGAGGGAACCGCGTGCTAAAATGCTAACTCATATCCGCGTTTTAGGACTCACTCCTGCAGCGCTCTTTTAATCGTTACCAAAATGTGTTTATGCTCACTGCGCAAAGTCAGAGAAAAGTGTCGTTCTCGACTCATGAAACATTGTCAAATGTTAAAATATAACACGACAAAACTCTTAAGACTACGACTTGTTGACTGAGATCCTGTCCCTTTAAATATGAACTATGTATAAAGATAGCTCAATATTGATATTGCAATGATATTGTTGGGTATCGTCATCATCAAATAATTGAACAGTCTGGTAGGCTTGATATTACGCTATCCAAAATTGAAGGCGATATCCATACTCATAGGACGATAACGATACATTGCCCAGGCCTAAAGATTATCAAGTCTGTACTGGAGTGTAAAACAACAATCTCTGTGCTTTTCTGTTCTTCACCCGATGCCCTCTGTGCGCATTGTTTGTTTCCACAGACTACGATGGTCCGTCCATATCCAATGGCTCCCCCAACCCTCAGATCAACGGCAGCTCCACCACACAGTCCATCAGGTCCACACACTCTGACCTCAGCAGCCAGGGCAACAGCACACAGGTGGGTGTAAGTTCAGGTATGGTGCTGTGTTCGGTCATTTGTCCCTCACATGAAACTCACTGTCTGTCTCTCCACCTTCAATAATACCCCCCGTCTAGCTGGCGGATGATGACGGTGGCCGGATGGACCCTTTTGCCGAGATGGGCCTGAGTCTGAGTGCTACGGCAGCAGAAGAGAAGATGAAGGTCCACGCCAAAGAAAAGAAGAAGGCGCCGCAGATGGACTGGATGAAGAAATACGAGCTGTTCAGCAACTTCTGAGACTTTCCCCTCCGCGGACTCTGTAAACACCACAGATCTGAGCTCTCTGCAGCTCGCTCCCTCATACAACCGAAGATATTTTGTTCCTGGAATTCAGTGTGACGAAAGGAAAAGGTTGTATGACGGATTCTCTTTTAAGCCACTATGGAGACTCTTTACCAGCTATGTTACCCTCTTCAAAACAAAGTGCTGACTGCAAAAACTGTGTATACTTTGTTACAATCACACTGTTCAGAAGGAAGAGCATTTTGAAAAGCTCCAGATACGTGTACTTCTATTAGATGGGAGTCTTGCAATCAAGTTTTCACAAATTTGCCTAAATCCTCATCACCTTTTCTCCACTTCGATCACCCCATTATCCCCGCTCATAGAGACTCAAATAAGGGAGACAGTTATTTTTATATTTAAAAAGTATAAACACCTATTAAAAAAACAGTATCCCATCATCACGGACTGCATTTTAAAGAGTTTTATGGACACTGTGACATTAATGATTGTGGACATTGTGGGAGTTTTGGCCCATCAGTCAGAGGAAGCCCAAAGTTGGCAGAAGATCACTGTGAAAGAGTTGAGACCCTCCACCTCGAGCCCACGCAGATGTTCGATCACAATCACTGACAAAGAAAAGGATGGCTGTGTGTAATGTCTCCTACATGTATTTGTATTTTTACATAGAGTTAATTAACTGGTCGTCAGATCAGCTCGGCTTTACTTGTTATTTTAGCACTCAGTCTTACTAATGTATCACCACTAACCTCTTTTCCCAAAGTGCTCCAGTGGACGTGCATAACCAAGGGAAGCACCACTAACATTAAATTTATTGATAAAGTAAACAATGGAAACTGGAACGTCTTAGAAAGGAAGGTTTTCTCAGGGCATGATGAATGAGTGAATCATTAGAGGGGGCTTGATGTGTGCAGCAGAGGGCAACCTGACACCACAAATACAGGCTCCTCTTGACACTTAAACTAAACAGACAAAATGTTTATCCTGGCTGTTTTATCAGGGTTGTGTCGGACTGTTTCTCAGGCCTTGTTTACACATATACAGATATTTTTGAAAGCTTATATTTTCCCCTCTGTGTTATAAGATAATTCTGATACGAGTGATGCTCTGGACATGCTGAAATCCCACTCCAGAAAGTGTCCCACTATCTGCTTGTTCAACCAAGTCTGATCCAAAACTGTTGTTTCTGGAGGACTCTAAACTGCAGGTGCTGAGCTGGAGCAAAACCATTGGATGCAGCCATAGATTTAAAGATAACAGAATACAGGACCCCAGGACCCTATTTGTTCTAATGGAAATCCGCCAAGAAGTGTTAAAGCTTCCAGGTTTACTTCAGCATGTAGTGTTTCTCCAGTTGCTCTGCCCACAAGGTCCTGCTCAACTTAGAGACTTCACATTGTGATGATGTCATGGATTTTAAATCACATTTACTAGCTTGAGTTTTCATATATAAAATCTCCATGGCTCAAAAACGCATCATAGAAAGTCATAATTGACCTTGTGTGCAGTTTGAGGTGTCTCGTCAATAATTTGACAGATGTTGCAGGGTATTTTTTTCGCTGCAATACTGCGAGGGGCCACTTGAAAAAATTCCCGAGGGTTCCTGGGGTCCTAGGTGCAGCTGACAACTCTGTTGGTCTGCAAAGTGGCGCAACAATACTAAGTTTAAGTTTGAAGTAGTCATAATAATAATAGGCATGCCAATACAGTCTCACTCTGACCTCTTTACATATTGACGTTTGGTCATGGACTTTCCACGTCCACATACAACATGCAAGGTACCTTGGGTGCGATGGTTGTTGACATTCTGGGACACTGTCAAGTTCTGCCAGTTACATGCATTGTCTTCTTTCAAAATACACTTCCATTTTCCCAGAAAATTTAACATTTACATACAGTCTCTTTCAGAATAAACACACTATGTCAGTGCAACAAAGCAAATTGACGCTTTTTTTCTTTAGGAAAAAATAATGGGTTGGGCTTTATAATCTCAGGGGACGCAAACACCACTCTCCCAGGTGAACGTCAGTGTTTGTTGGACCCATCCACCATCCCACCTGCCTGCCCTACTCGCACTTTCGCCGTCTTATTTCCATTCTCGTCTTGCTCATTTCCCCCTGAGCACTGTTAAACCAAAATGGCGACTGGCCATTTATCATGCCGACATTAAAGGACGGCTTTTTTTTTGTCAGTGTCTGACGCTGCAAGTCACTGCCCAAGCACTGGATTTCGACGACTTCAAGTGAGACTGGGTTGGGCATGCACAAATTAAGGAGATCATTTCCCACACGTTCCGTTTTACACGTCCACACAGATAAACAGTAACTGAACTTTTAGAAAACCTTTCAGAGACCTACAACTCTGATTGTGTGGAGACGAGGCAAAAAAAAAAAGTAGACGCAAATATTTGCATACATGTACACAAGGCCTTAGTTAGGAGCTGTAACTTCCTGGAGTATTCAATGGTTGCCTGGCAACAGCTCAAGGCCAAGAAACAGTCTGGTACAAAACTGCATATTGTAGTTTTTAGACTTGTAGACAAACAAGACATAACAGGCTAATAAGTGAACTTACGGGGTGCCAGGCTAGCTGTTTCCCCTGTTTCTACTCTTTGTGCTAAGCTAAGCTAACTGGCTGCTTGCGTTAGCTTCATATTGAACATGCAGACATGAGAGCGTTACAGATCTTCTTGCCTAACTTTCCAACAGAAAGCAAGAGTATTTCCCAGGAAGGTCATATTATTCCTTGAATAAGAATAGGGTGAGGAAAGAGGCTCAGAAGTGCAACATGAGTGTGAGCAGGTCGTGGGGCGGAGAGAGAGCAGGAGAAGCTACACAGTGAGGTCAGAGATGCTCTGAAGGATCTAGTGAAAGAGACTGTGGGAGCCATGGAGCTTACAGAGGATTACTACACACACAGGGACAGCTGTCATACACACATTTGGAGCACGATCTGTGTGTGTGGACTGGAGAAGGTATACATGCTGCAATCCACGCAGTGTTGACACAGTGCATTACAACAAGTGGAGAGTCATCTATGTGGACATCTTGTCTTTGTTTTGTATCCATTCACACCCTTTACAGAGCTCACACACTACTCTAACGGCAGTGTCTAGATTCATACTCGTACATCCGTCTGTGTGTGGAGTAGGGCTCACTCTGTTTGTTCTAACAGTCACAGCAAAAACTCTATGTTACCATGGCTGATGTATATACAGTAAAGCATACAGTATATATGGCAGGTTGCATTTTTTTCAATAAAGTGTGACAATGGCGTTTTGGAATATTTTAAATCGTCTCTGTCATCTCTTGAATGCTTAACATTTTGTTTTCCACAACTTTGTTTTGAACCTCTCTGTGCAAACCGAAACTATTTCACCCTCTCACATTACTCCTTTTTTATTGGTCTCTCTGTTATTACAATGTTTCTCATTCGCTGCTGTTTCCACTCTTTCTTTCCCTCTCAGCCCCCGCGCTCTCTCCATCTCGTTCTCTTGCTGAGGATTATGCCGGCGTACAGTTTCAGTTTCAGCCTGTTCTCACAATTCACCACCAGCCAGCTGCTGTGAGCTTTCAGGCCACGCAAAGGTTAAACAGAGGTCAAAAGTGTATTCGTGTGAACATGTCTGTCTGTGTGGTGGGGGTGACGGAGGTTTTCATGTGCGTCAGGGTTGAGGTGTTCAGCGCTTGGGTGTGGGTGTTTTTTGTCTGCATCTTTATCCGGTCTGTGTGTATTTGGTCTTCGATAAACAGTTGTGAAAGAAGTGTCTGTTTACCAAAGTACAGGTAGAACAATGTTAAAATACTCCATTAGAAGTAAAAGTCCTTAATTTAAAACTTTGAATCCTGTCTGAGTTAAAGTCCAGGAATTTTATCAGCTAAATATACATAAATTACTAAAATTAAAATAAGTGGTCAGGCAGGAAAATTGTCCCTTTACTAATGTATAATAGAGTTAATGATGCATTAATGTGTAAGCAGTATTTTACTGGTGTAGCTGATTGAGGTGAAGCTAGTTTTAACCATTACAGTGTAGAAAGAGTATTATATGTGTGCTATTTATTTGGGCTGAACCTGACCCGGCCCCATGGCGCAAGGCCTGGCCACCAGATAATAGCTGGCGAGCTCCCCCTCAGGTCTGGCTCGACAAGGAGGCCCCAGCGTCCCTTATTGGGCAAAGTGCTCAAAGTCCGAGTGGTCCGTTTCATCAAGGTCTTCTTGAATCGCTCTTACTCTGACCCCTGGAACCACTTTGCCTCGGGAGACCCTACCAGGGGCTATAAGCCCAGGACAACACAGCTCCCACGTTAAAAGGGACACGCAAAGCTGGAAAGCAATGCTGGGGAGAGGGACGTCTGGGGTGCTTTGCTTGGCCTGCTGCCCCCACGATCCAGCTCTGGAAGAGCAGATGAAAATTGATGGATGGATTCTACCTCTATAGACGACAGCCTGTGCACTTAACGGATTATGGATTTAAGAGACAAAACTCAGAGAATGACACAAAAAGGGACGACAGGAAAAAACACACGTATGTACACCAGGGTGACTGGCTGCAATGAGCACTATTGGACTAACGTTAAATAACCTGCCACTTCTTATAGAATCAATAGCAGAATAAATCATCACCAAGGCAGCCAACACAGAGAGTTAACAGTTTAAACTGCACAGCAACTGAAGCCACAAACACACATTTTACGTCAAAAGAGAAACTGCACAGTTTTTACACACCACATAGTGCGCACACAAAACTACATTGCTTGGCAACGCAGTGGTTGTTGACATCCTCATTTGTACAGTGAGTTCACTGTGTGTGTCATATTATGCATGCTCCGGGTTCAACTTCTCCGCTCATTCATTCTCAGAGTATGATATAACCAGTCCGTCTAGTCTCTCAGTCCCAGTGTAACCAGTCCATTCAGACTCTGCGCTCCTCAAAGTTTTCACAAACAGCAGAAAGGCCTCACACACCTCACTGAAGGTAAAAGTGAACCTAGAAATCACAGCTGGTGGATCCATCGTGAGCTTTTTAGTATTTAGCATGTTAGCTTGACCCAGCATGCACCTGTTGGTGACATGTTATGTGGATGTAATTTGGGTCACTAAGCGTGCTCGCTGAGTGGAGCATTAAATCAGTGGAATAAAGACAGATTTAATGACCTTTTTTTTTTTTTTTACAGAAAAAAATATGCCAGGTACAATAATGATAATCACAACACATGATAGCGTGATCCTTAACCCATTTAATCCCATGACCATGAAAAAAGTTTTCAGATATAAGGCTCTAAAAATATTACCTGATGATTTATCAACATATTTCCAGCAAATATATGAATGAACTATGTGCAGTGTCACATGTTTAGTGTAAATTGTCACATGACCAGAGCTATTTACTTCCTGGTTGCACCATGAGACGAGGATGGCTGCATCAAAGCTCCAAAACAAAAGGTTGGTAAAGTCTGTTAACATAAGGATATGGCAGAAATGTTTGTACACATTATCTTTAAAGTGTCAAGTATTGACATGTGCATTTGTTACTCAACTCTGTTCAGTGGGGTCAAAGAATTATTGAACATGTTGATGGCAACAATAGTGACCAGTGGGATAAAACTGTGCATCTAAATGTACACGTACTTACACACATATATAGTTCTTGTTCTACCTAACCTTTAACTGTTCTTTCTTTAGGTTCACTTTGAGTAAAGTTTTGGATATGTGGGTTCTAGGTGACGGCCCAGACAAGGCATACGACCTTACAGTTGTATAAAAATACAAAGATGCTGTCTTCAGTGATTGTGACAGAAATGGGTCAGATATAGGCTATGAGGGGAGACAGGCTATTTGCCAGCCAGGCTGTTGAATTCTAATGCTGAACTTATGTAAACAGATCATGACAGGAACAACTTTATCAATGATTATGACCTCCCCCTCCAGCCCATTCTCATTCCAAAGTCGTCGAATACCACCGCTTTGTCAATGATTTTGGCGTCAGACACCTGATGCCAAAAGCCACCTTTCGCAGCAGTATGTAACGCAGCTGGACGTAACCTTTAGCGTTACTATGATATGCCACTGGTTGGCCGGACAGTACCTATCAGGGTGGTATGATACACTGCAGGACGTGGTCAGGTTGAAATGCTGCTGATAATGACATAATATCAAAAGCAGTAAAGCCCATATGGGGTGCGAAAGGGGGGGAGCTGGATGGGTCCAACAAACCCTGGACTTTCACCAAGGAGCCGAGTGTTCCCTTCCCAAATGCCAAACCAAGATGTGTTTTTTTTAAACCTATCTACATGCTTTTGTTAATGTCACGGTATTGGTTGCGTGTCCTGGAACATCAACAGCAGATGGAGATGGGTACTTAGCACATCATATGTGAATGTAAAAGGCCACTGACAAAGCGGTGATGTATGTATGTATGTATGTACAAGGGTTTTTGATATGTAAAGTAGTAACCCTGGGATATGATGATGATTCTAGTGGCAATGCTCAGGACTGCCTGTGACAGAGTTTTAGATGTTTTAATAACTGAGCTGGGATATGTAAGTGTTTTGATGGCTGCATAGGAGATTAAATGTTAATTTGGTCAATAAATGGTAGATACAACACATTAAGCCATTGGTCACACTTATGACGACCATCAAACACAGTTCTTCATCTACTTTTCCATGAAAATATATATTTAAAAAAATTATTGAAAGATTGAAAACTGAGAGGTTCTGCAACACAGTTCTACTTTTGTGTTTTGTACTTCTCTCTAATCTTAGCTATATTTAAAAAGAAATGTTAGGTAGTTTTGCCTCTTTGG